AGGGGCGGGACGGCCGGAGCTCCCGCGCGGCTCCCCTGCGTCGGCCGTCGGGACCCAGGAACGGGGCCTACACACGGCGGGCCTGAGTTTCAGCACGGCGACCGCCCAGCGCCTACTCACCTTCTCTTCCACGCAGTTGACAATGATGGACGGGTACTTGCGGCTGAGCCAGCGGAAGAACGCTGGGACTCCCATAGCGGCGGCACAGCCGACGCGGCGGCCCGGCCGGCGACCAGCGTAACCTGAGAGACGGGCGGGAGCGGCAGCCGCGGGCACGGGCACTTCCGCCCACGTGCGCGTCGCGACAGGAAGTGAGGACATGGGTCGCCGCGGGGAACGCCGGGATTGGTCCGGCCAGGTGAGGCGCGGCGGGTGGTGGTCGCAGAGCCAGCGGGTTTACTAGTCTAGGTTGTTTTCTGCGGTCCTGGCTTCCGGGCGCGAGTTGGCTCACTCACAGGGCTCGCATCTCCCGGTTCCCGTGCTCCGCAGACCACGGAGGAGTCCTGCCCTTTGGGTCAGTTTGGGAAAATGAACCGTATTTTAGTGGGGTTTTTTTCCCCACTCACCTCGATAGTCAAATCGAACCATCTGAAGTCCCGCGTTAGTTCTATGTCCTGCTATCTCACAGTTTTGCACTACAGTACGAACTAAGACGATGAAACGGCGCATTTTAAAGTATTTTACAATAACGACTCGTTTGCATAATTAACTCAATTACAGAATGTAGGCAGCAGTTAGCATCCAGTACAAACTTCCAGTTGCACTGAACGTGTATTTAAAAATTGCTAAATTTATGTATAACTTTATTGACCTCTTAGAATGTGCTAAGGCATTGACCAAGGGATTCGATATTTAGTCATCGTTTGAGCCCCCTGAGGCACCATTGCCATCCCCTGGTAACGTGTAAGGTGATCATGGTATCTCCCCTGCCAGGTAAGTATAGCAATGTATAAGGTAATAGGTAGAACAGTGAAGTTGTAGAGGGGCTAAATTACTCGCTTCTTTACATAGTGTATGTTTCAATTCGAGCAAAATCCTTGGAGTAACGTGATGCTTTCATCCTTTGTTTCTGATGGTGTCAAATGTAATCTATCCATCTATGGAGATGTCTAAAAGAAGTAGTATTTATGACCATTTGTTCAGGCTGGGAAGTCTGTCTCTCTCCCCTGAATCCCCCTCTTGGCTTCACAAATCACACTCAATCGTAAAGGCTCACTTCAAGAGGCCTCTAGGAAAGTACTTCTCCCATGCTACCAGGCAGCAGTATTCATTGCCCCCGCCGGTGGCCTGATGACTGTGTGTGTGTGTGTGTGTGTGTGTGTGTGTGTGTGAGAGAGAGAGAGAGAGAGAGAGAGAGAGAGAGAGAGACTGGGGATTGAACCCAAATCCTCAAGCTTGCATAATTTAATTTGTGCAAACCAGTCTCTATTGTACCACTTAGCTACATCCCAGCCCCTTTTATTCTTTAAAAATTTTTGAGGCTGAGTTCTGCTAAATGTAAAATCTAGAGATGTGGTTATCCCATATTGTACTTAAGGATAGTTAACACTTTCCAGAGGATTATGTCTGTGGTGAAATTTTTAGTTTTTACCTGGAAATGGCCCCATTCCTGCAGTTCTTGGTTTCCTTAGTAGTCTTTATATAGGAATACACACATCATAATTGGTGTAGACATAGGCAGCTGACCAAGGTGATGCATTCAGATTTGTGCCCAGAATTTTTGATCTTCGAACCATAAACAATGTAAGACAGCCCCTCCCAGATAGTCAGATGCTATAAGATAAGAATCAGGACTTCCTATGCCAGGTCTGGTGGCGCAGGCTGAGGCAGGAGCATTGTTGTGAGTTCAGTACCAGCCTGGGCTACAAAGTGAGCTCAAGGCCAGCCTGAACTGCATAGAGAGACCCTGTCTCAAAAACACCAAAAGAAAAAAAAAGAGTCAGGACTTCTTGCCAGTACAATGAAAGAAGCACATTCAAGTCCTTGGTCCCAGTAGATTTTAGGTTCCAGCTAAATCTTTCTCTTCTTATAGTTTTGTTGGTAATCTTGTCCTTTGAGTCAATGAGCCAAAAAATCTTTTGCCCTAAACCTAAGCAGGTTTGGTCTAAGTTCCTATTCCTTGCAAAGGAAAGAGTTGAAACAGAAAGGTAACAAAATTTGAGATGTGCACAGCTAATTTGCCTAGATGCTGAAATTGCTTTTCATAAAAGAAGTACAAAACTTGGAGGTTTTGGAACTCTGAGAAAGAGGGAAAGGTAGAGAGCAGTCTGAAAGGTGGTAGGAGGATACAGACTAAGTTGAATGTGTCCTGTCAGACTCAGCTTGGTGTGGACTTTTCTTCTTGTAGAAATCAAAGAATGAGTCTCAGGTTGGGGTCACCGTGATCCATAGCACAGGTCTGGGAAACAGCAGAGGTCAAGAAGGAGAAGAGATTATGAGAATTTAAATGTCAGAAATGAACACCAGTAGTGAACTAGACCTTGGACTTCCGTAGGCTGAAAATCCAGAGATTTTAAAACTTTTTTGCCTAGACTTTGAGGGGGCAGAGGAAGGTCCCAGCTGACATCTGGATTACATTAATGTGAAGATAATACATATATATATATATATATATATATATCAGAATATTCATTAACATACCTTATAAACCCATTAACATGATAATTATTGAAGAAAAGAATCTTAAATGATTTTGTCTACTATTGGTTTCAGATTATTAATTGCTTTCTTTCCCTCTTGATCCTTACAAAGTTCATTGTGAATATCCCAGTGCATTTAAAATAGTAATTATGATGCTGAATTTCATGTGCCAACTTGACTGGGCCACAGTGTTCTCAGATACTAAGTTAAACATTATTCTGGATATTTCTAGAAAGGCATTTTTGGATGAGATTAACATTTTTTTAATCAGTAGAGAAAAGTAGATTGCCTTCCATAATAATGTCAGTAGGCCTCTTCCAATCAATTGAAGGCTTCAATAGAACAAAAAGACCAGCCCTCCAAAAAGAGGGAATTCTCTGGGCTGTGTATTGCCCCCAGGTTTCACCTACACTATTGGCTGTTGTGAGTTTTGAACCTGCCATCCAACACCATCCAACGGATTTGAATTTGCTAGCTCTGTAGTCAGACCAATCAATCCCTGCAGACAGATACAGATAACTATGGATTCTGTTACTCTGAAAAACCCCAATACAGTAGTTTTATTTACATGGGAATTTGTTTTGTGCACTTTGCTATTTCACATCAGATAAATCTGCAAATAACCTGCTTCACATTCTAGATTAAATTTTCTTCAGTTGAATGGAGTTTTTGTACAGTTTTCTTTTTAATCCAAACAAAACAAATATAGGACTTAGAAATTAAAATACTTTGTTGGTGAAAAGATGCTAAATCAAGATTTATGAAGTTATATGAAGAAGGTTAAGAATATTTTTACAGGCACAGACACGGGAATCAATGGGAAACAAACCCCCAAACAGAGTCACATATCCACATATGTATGTAAACATTTTTTAAAAAAATAGATGTTGCACTGTAGAGAATTGGAGAAGAGACATCTTTAAAAAAAATAATTGTGCTGGAATAATTTCTTATCTAAATGGAAAAAAATGAAAGTAAATAGCATCTGTAGAACTTTTAGAAGAACAAAAAACTCCATTTGGATCATAGTCCTCCTTATGAAAGATAGAATTATAAAGCTGGTAAATATAACATAGGAAAATAGCTTTAGAAGCTATGGATGAGAGACTTACAACAAGCATAAAGAGAAAGGCTGATAGAGACATATAACTAATCATAAAGAGAAAGGCTGATAAAATACACTACCATTAAGAGCTCTATCCCACAAAGAATGATAGACAGTAAAAAGACAAACCAACCACAGTGTTATAAACAATATTTGCAACACATACCACCAACGGAGAACTTATACCCAGAATATTTAAGGAACTCTTAGAACAGAAAACCCAACAGAAAAATAGGCTAGGCTTTATAAAGTGATAAGGCCTTGGTGGAGGAGGAAATCCACATGACCAATACATGAAAAGGTGCTCAACCTCAGGGGGAATCCAAGAATTGCAAATTAAAGCAACAGCACACATCCAGCAGATTGGCAAAAATTAGAAAGACAACTGTACCAAGTGCAGTAAAGAGATGAAGCAACTTACTTTTCTACCTGACCTTTTATGCCTGAGGAGCTAACAGCACCCTTGCTCAGGCTTACCTTAAACTGGAAACCACTTTACCACCCTCAACAAGGAATAGGTAAATGAATTGTATTTCTAAAAGGATATGGCAATGAAAATGAATAAACTGAAGTTACAGAAAAATACAGATCCTTTCTCTCCACATAAGGTCAAGCATGCGGGTCAGCTTTTGTGTGTGTTTGTCTTTGTACTTTTCTCAGCATTTAAATTACAGCTACTCAGTCATTTCCTTGGCGAATATTTGTGGAACATCCACTGTGTACCGCTGGGAAGGCAAAGGTAATTTTTTATAAACAAAGAGCAAAAGAGGATCCACGCCTCCCAGAGTGCCTTTCCAGGCCCTCACTGACCACCATTGCTCTGGGCCCCAACTATCTCTTAGTGATCCTATCTCACCCACTCCACCTCCAGAGAGCTTATTGACTGATGTATCCAGGTCCTGGCTTTTCTAACAAACATCCACAGAAGCTGCAGTCTTAACTTTGTTCTGAAATATGACAACTTTTCTTTTGGTAAATAGCTATCAACTGTTTTTAAAAGTTGCCCTTTTTGAGGCATATTACAAAAGTCTAGTGTTCCCATAACAGTTTAGTAAAACTTGGAAGAATCCAGATTTAAATGGTTGGGTGCAAGAGAAATTCTGTGTGTCTGCACTACTGAAGTGACCATGAGCACCTCATTTTTCTCACCTCTTGATGTTTTAGTGACAGTACTTTGTCTTTAGGAGGTACACTTTTCAGAATAAAACTTCTTGGCAGGGGGGGAGCAAGACTTAATCTTTATGACTTTGCCTTCTGCTGAAGTTGAGGGATTTGCCAACACGGGCTCGATTCAACTCTGAAACAAACCGCCGTCTGTCAGGGAGCTCTGTGGCTTTGGAATTTGAGGAACTCTAATCCTGGAGTCTTGGGTGCAGTTATTCCTTTTATATGTCAATTTGGCTGGGCCACAGTGCCAGATGTTCATTCAAACATGACTCCCGATGTTTTCTAAAAGTGTTTTTAGGGTGAGATTAACATTTAAGTCAGTAGACTGAGTAAAATAGATTCCCCACCATACTGTGGGTGCGCCTTATCCACATAGGTGACGGCTTTCATGGAACAAAGCCTGATCTCCTGTAGCAAGAGTGGATTCTTCCAGGAGATTCCCTTGGCCTGTAACTGCAGTCCTTCCTCTGGTTTCCAGCCTGCTGGCCTCCCACATCAGACTTTGGACTCCTTAACCCTCCTCAATCCTGTGAGCCAATTTCTTAAATCTTTCTCTGTTACATCTATGGGTTTCTGTTTCTCTAGAGAACTCTGACATTGGTAAGATGCTTAAACCTCTCGAAGCCTCCTTCTCTTCATCTGTAAATAAGGGTTCTCAGTTTCATAGGATTCTGTGAAGAGTCAGTGAGACAGTGCCCAGGGCAAAGCACAGCACGTGCAGAGTACCAGCAAGCATTGCAATGTCTGCCATTGTGTGCTCATCACTTGTGTTGTTATGAAAAAGCCACAGCTTGGTTAGCATGGTCCACTTTAAAGGTTTGGGGCAGTTTAATTATGTAGTACCTTAGTTTTCCAAACACGAGGGGTGGCTGGAAACTTTCTAAAATCAAGTCTATCTTCCTTTTCCCTTTTGCACTGTGCACTGCTAGTTCCACCACCACTTTTTTGCCAGTTCACATTCTCATTCTCTCTTTCCCTCTCCCAGCACGTGAGCCCAAACTGCCTTTTGTCCACACTCATCTTCCATATCACTTTAACTCTTACATGTGGTATTATGCTTCACATTATTTCAGGTTTAGTCTATGAACATTCTCTCTCCTCACATTCTTCTCATGGGTCAGGATAAGATGGGTTTTGCTGCAGTAACAAGTAATGCCCAAAGTTTCATCAGCTTACCCTGTGTGGTGCTGGGCTCCAGGGATGTCCCACGTGTGACCATCTGGGATCCTGCTGCTGTCATCCTTGGTTTTGCCAGCTCAAGACATGTGACCACTATAATCACTGACAAAATGGATGACAGGAATGTGATTCTTATGTATATCTAAAATGTACCAATGAAATCTAATTTTTAAAAAAAAAAAACAGGACATGAAGGCTGCACTGGATGGTTTCAAGGGCCAGGTGTGGTGGTGACTTAGGGTACTTTTGCTCACATACACTTGACCCAGCCCAGTCACATAGCCCATACCCACTTGCAGAGAGACTAGGAAATCGTCTTCCTGGTGCTCAAGAACAAGAAAAGAATACAGGCTTGTCAGGCACATAGCATTGCCTCTGTCATCCTCAATTAGCTGCAAATCAAACTACTAAATATCCATTTAAGATTCAATATTTGCTGTGTATCTTGGGCATCACAAGAAAAAGTAATTGCCCTCCAAGAGCCTACCATCAGTAGCAAGGCCAAGATATAACCACCAAATATGAAACATCAAGAATTACATAATGGTTTGACCAATAATAAGTCAACTGCCACAGCACCTGTTCAAAATTCCAAATGAATTTCACAGATAAGAATTGTTAAGGCATTTAGAAAAAGTGGCAATCTTGTCACCTAATGGGATCACCACACATGATAGTGAGGAGAATGACACTGAGGCTAGGAATATTAAGTTTTGGTTGGCAATGGGAAGATGTGGAGAGTCATTAAATTCCTTGGGGAGGTGAAATGACTTTTATTTATCTTAGGTGGGTATCCAGTAGACTCTCAATAAATATTTTTATTGAATTCAATAAATTGGAGCAGTAATTCTCAAGGTGTATTCCAGAGACTCTCTCAGGGATTCCTCAAGACCAAAACTGTTTTCATTGGGCTGTTATTTACTCTTTTCCTTCTCATTCTTCCAAAGGTGAGATTCTTCAGAGGCTCAAGGACATGCAGTGTCACAGCAGACGGAGTCACAAGGAGCTGTGACAGTCCATTCAGTATGGGAAGGAGTTCCAGAATATAAAATGGTGCTGATCTTCTATCAAGCTTTTTTGTTTGAGAAAATATTGTTATTTTATTAAAATGTTAGTGATGTTATGATGTATTTCTTATTATTGAGGATTTTTGTTGTTATTATAAGTGAATCAATAAATTAGTTTTTAAAAATTTTTCTCAGGTTTGATTTCTAACATAGCAAATATCAACAGGCCCAGTCCACTTAAGCTTCTTGACGTCTCAATGATTTTTTGAGTCCTGAGACCAAAAACTTGGAGAAGTTCTGTTTTAAAACATGAAACAAAATGGGAGCTATAAGTCTGTGTTCCTAGAACCCATCCAAAGCTAATTTTTTGAATTCCTATGATTTTTATATCTCCAGACCTTGATTGACATGGCCTTTGCTAATCCTAAACAATCTGATATCACCACCAAGTGTAATTTCTAGGTGCCAGTGTGCATGACGTTAGTGAACAGATATGCAACCTGTGTGTTTCTATGCAGTCCTTTCCTGGTAGAGCTCTACAGTGCAGCTCAGAAAGGTAGGCACAAAAGTGTAACAGAATGGAACTAATATGGAAGATGAATTTTTAAGCCCTGTAGGTCTATGCCCATCTCAGTCTCTGCAGCTGCCCCATCTCTAAATTTCTCTAATAGTGATAATCATTTTTTTTTTTTGCCTTGTATTCCTCAGATACTCTGGGGAATGGTGCTATAGATGTGTTGTGAAATGACACTATGTATGTAGAAAAGTGTGCACACTGCTAAGGACATGTGGAACAACGTCCTCTGAGAGCAGGATATGATGCAAACCACAGGTCTAAATCCATACTTGTTATTACATGGATTTAGGTGACAAATCCTATGCTCTAAAACATAACCTCAAACAGTGAAAGCCTACTAGAACATGATTTGCTTATAAAAATGGTATAAAATGTCCTAGATCCAGCTCTATGAAAGGATCCTACTACATTTCATTCCCTAATACGACATTTGAGAAAATCCTGGCAGATTTCTGTTTTAGGCCCCAGGTTGTATTGTCTCCTAAAGGAAAAGACAGGAAGTTGACAGAAGCCATATGTTTCAAAGAGCTGAACAGTTGTAATTCCCTCTGGGAGTATAAATGGAAGAAGCTGGATGGAAAGGACCTCATTTAAAGGATAATAAAGTGTAAAGCTCTCTGAGAAGTGTTGAAGGTAAGACCTCAACCCTACAAGCTGATAAGCAGGCCCAGACTTTTATTTATAGTGACATGAGTGACATTTATCTGCCTCTCACTAGAACATCTAATCCACTTGTCAAGGTGTGTCTCACGGAGACCTGATTTCTGGTCAGAGTTGGCAGGCTTCAAATACAAATGTGACTGCCCTGGCTGAAATTCCTGATTGGAAAAAAAAGAAGTCACTGGGGTATGAAATACCATATCAACTCCATTTCATTTAGCCTCAGAGAGTACATTGCCCAAAGAGGGTCTTGGCTTTGCGATAGAAATTGTGGTCTGTCAGTTAAAGTGGGAGTAGAATGAATTGCTGAGGGGTTCTCCCTACTTACTCTCTCTGTAGAATCATTATAGGATGGTAGATGTCTCTTCTTTACCCAAATTGTTGACGCAGTCTGGTTTCAGGGCCAAAAACCGAGGTGATCTATGACTAGGGCCATCTTGACAGTCAGGAATGATGGGGCTCCCAGGGTTGTACACTCACACAGAAGGCTTGTGTTCCAGATAAGAAAGCACAAAAACATTGAGAATTAAGTGGCAATAAGCAGTTTGAATAGTAGATGAAAGAAAAAAAAAGGGCCATAACTATTTACAAGTAAATTAGACAAGTTGCTATAAAAGTTCAAAGAATGGAAAGGAGAAAAAAATATGGCCAGGCAGACAAGAATTTATGGTGGAAGTGAGACTTGAAACAGCTCCTGATGGAACAGTAAGATAAATGAGACCATCACCCAACCATGTAGTACTAGTGCTCGACATGGTGCCAGTGCCCTCCCTTCCTCCCCTTCCCTATCTCCTTCCACTCTTCCCTTTCCCTCCTTCTCCTCCACTTCTTGACCATATTCTTTCTTGGCCACTAAATTCATCCCCCACATCATGGACCTGCCCCTCGGCCTCATCCTAATCATAAGCACCTCGGGAGAGACCTATTTCCTTCCTCTTGTGGAGAACGGGGCCCAGATTAAATTTGTTTTGTTTTCATGCAGAACTGTGGATGATCTGGGGCACTCTACCACTGAGCTGCCTCTCCGGTCCTTTGAAGTTTTTGAGACAGAGTCTCACTAATTTGCCCAGGTAATCTTCCAACTTGCAATCCTTTTGCCTCAGCCTCTCAAGTAGCTGAGATTACAGGTGCCTAGCTCTAGGTTTTTTAAAAAACTAACTTTATTGAGATATAACTTACACACATTAAAATGAATCAATTTTATTTGGCTTTTTGTTTGTTTATTTTGTTTTGTTTTGTACCAGAAATCAAACTCAGGACCTTGCTCTTGCCAGGCAGGCACTGTGCCACTGAGCTACATCCCCAGCCTGAATGTATCAGTTTTAACCTAGGGTTCAATGTGTTTGAAAAATGTATATATTGAAACTCACCACTACCATCAAGACATAGAACAGTTCCATCACCCCATTGTCCCTTGTACTTTTCTGTAGAGAGTCCCTTCCTGTCCCTGTCCTTAAGCAATCCTTGATCTAGTTTTGGTACCTGTAGATTAAAAGTTTTTTCCCTAAACTTTTATACCAATGAGATCATAACATTTTATAGTCCTTGATCTAGCTTCTTTTACTCAAAACAATGTTCCTGAAAGGATCCATGTTGTGTAGGTCATTTATTTGTTTGTTTGTTTTTTCAGTACTGGGGATCAAACACAGGACCTCACCAAGTACTCTACCACTGAGCTATACCCCCAGCCCAGTTTTTAAAATTTTTTTTCTTGCTGTTTAGTATTTCATATAGACATACCACAGTTCCTTTGGCCATTCACCTTTTGATAGCTATCTGGGCCATTTCTAGTTTTTTGGAATAAAGCCACTATGAACATGAACATTCACATATAAGTCTTTCTGCAGAAATACACCTTTATTTCCTTGGAAAAAAGTCCTAGAAGTAAGGGTTGCATAGTAGCTGTATGTGTGACTTTGTGAGAAATCATTAAGCTGTTTTCTAAACAGCTTGTGCCACATTATTTAAATACAATGTGTGATGGTTATAAGAATGGGTATTATTGCCATTGAAGAAAATCTGGAGGTATCTATTTTTGTTGTTTTTGTTTTCTCTTTTGTTGAAGTGCTTGGATCAAACTCAGGCCTTATGCATGTGAGGCAAACACTGTGTCACTGAGTTACATATGTCTACATTTTGGGGAATGGAATTCACACTCGAGATTTGTATCTCAGCTTCCCACCACATGTGCTGATTTGTCCTTTCTCACTGCACTCTTTCTTTTATGGCTTCCTTCTTTCTCGAACATTATTGAGCCACCTGCTGGTCCACACCCTAGCCACACCGAGTGACAGTACTTCCAGAACTGTGGATGGGTTTACGGAGGCCAGGTGAGTGTCCATGTGGCCTGTGACACACAATCACAAGCTAGAGGGGTCAAGGTTAGATCCAGAATTAGATGTATGAGTCATCCCATTCTAAAGATAAGTTTCACAGATGTTACTAACCATAAAATGTTACTGTGTCTGAGGACAGCCGTTTTTGAAGGAGGAAAGTACAGACAACATTCTCTCTCCACATATTCACTCAATAAGCATTTAACCAGCACATAGACCCAACAGAGCATTGTGGGAGGTAACAACATGCAGGATTTCTGTCTGTTCTGTAACATTACTCTGGCAAAGTAGTGAGGAAGTTAATCTGATCTAGGAGAGTGTCCATTGTGTCCTTGGATGCTCACTAAATCTTGGTCAAATGTTTGATTATTACAGTTTAAGGAGCAGCTAGCAGAGGGGCAAAGAAGCAAAGACTGGAGTAAACAGTCTGAAAAGACACAAAAATCAAGGGGAACAGGTATGGAACAATCCTGTGAACAGTGTCCTCAGACTTCAGTTGTGCATGCATTGTCTCTTCAGAGTGAGCCTTGGAGGAGCTGTCCAGGTAAATTTTTCAGCAGATCTAAGGCTGGATTTCTAAAACTTGAAGAGGTAGTCAATATGTACCTGGGTTATATGTGTGTGCAAGAATGTCTACAGATATAGCTCATCTTTTAACTGGTTATAAGCTGTACGTAGTTTTTATTTAATCTAGTTTTTGAGTTACAAATGTAAGCCCATTGTCACTGCCAATGATCAAGGGTAGACCATATCTAGGGATGATGCTTTTATAGCAGGACCCTACAAACTTTTTTTAGTTTGGGTAGGGAATGGGAGATCAGGGCCAGCAACACAAATGCTGAAGCCTGAGCTGGCGTCAGGGGTATGGGTGCCAGCACAGAAGCTTGAGCTTGCAAAACAAACAGTGGGGGCAGATCTGGCTCTGATCTTCGAGGGATACCAGGTTTTTTAGTCAGTTGGATCCCTGGAGGGGTATTAGGCTTCTGGACCAGATTATTTTGCATCATTGGTAGCAGGTTTCCAAACAGCAACAGGAAGAAGTTTGCTGTGCAGATCATCCCTGCAGGAGAGTTTTGGCCAAAATAGTTTTGTCTAAGGTGACCACAGCATATCTACTCTGTTGGACTTTATTCCTAACAAAGCTACTTCCATCCATAAGCAGATTGTACTCAGCATTTGCAAGGGTGTCCATTTTTTAGAACAGTTCATCCCATTACCGCATGTGTCACCTGGACAATTAGGTCTCAGCCTAAGGTGAGCTTGTCAGCTTTCTTGATCAGAAGGACAATGGCTGTTAGAGCATGGAACCAATTTCTACTGGATATTGTAGCAAAGAAACAAGTTTTTGAACCTCTGAGACACTGAGTAAGAAGGCATTTTTAGGTCCAGGCAGGTGTACCAGCAGGCTGTGGGTGACAGAACACTGAGGCAATGCATATGGAGGGCAATTGCAGTGGCATTGGAAGCTTGGAGATCTTGAACTGGCTTTATAGGTAGGAGAGGTGTACTGTTTGATGCAGGTGGGGGTTGCCTTGGGATAAAGCTGTATCACCAAAAGGGCATGATTGATAGCAAGCCCCGGGCATGAGTCTTTTGTCCATACTTCTGGAAATGAG